TATAAAAGGGAGCTATACCTGTGCCAATCTCAGGATCACGGAGCGGCTAAATGGAACTATGCGTGGAAAGTTCTAGCATTGTGCCTTTCACAGAGCTAAATTCCCAGTACCTAGAAGGGGTGACCCGCATCGTTGTCTTTTTCTCCAGTGGTGTCTCCTGCTAGATAAGATCCAGCACTGCCACGGGTGCCAGCCGCTTAGCGGGTACCCTCAACATCTTTATCTCCTGAGACCCTGCAAGTGTCCCTTTCAGGGAGAGAAAGAAGTCACTGCGACTGGTTATCACCGCCTCACTAGGACAAGGATGGGAAGGAGGGTCTTTTTACTTCTGCACGTCCCATCCCCAGCTCGCACAGCGTTCTCCCCCTCACACACCACCGTCCCCCTCCTCTGACCACTGAACTCCAGCCTCTGCCTAAGTTGGCCCTTCAGAGCCTTGGACTTGGGAGTTGAGCAAACACATTGGAGCCCTGACCTGAGACACGCATGTGTGTCCACCTCACACAGCCATGTGTCTGCCTAGCCTTACCAAGCATTCCATCCCTGCACAGGTGCTTTACAGGACTGTCCTGGGTACCTGCCTTCCGGTGGGGGGGTGGAGATGGGGACACAAGCCAGTGATGGCTGGCATGTGGTGAGCACTCCCGAATGTGTGCTCAGCTCTGGTCTGAGGGACAGACTCAGTTACCCTGGGAGTCAGTTATACTCTTCCTCGTTTTAGGGAGAAGGCGATTGAGGCCCAGAGGTTAAATCACTTTGCTCAGAGTCTCAGAGTTTAATTTGGGAGCCAGGATTCAACCGCAGGCACGCTGGCTCCAGAGCCTATGTTCTTAACTATTTTTTGAGAACCCCATGTCCAGGTGGGGAACTTGAGAGGCCCTGTCCGAGGTCGCAGTGTGGGAGGGAGGCAGCGAGAATTCAGGCCCCCGCCACTTTGGGCCAGAGCTGTGTCATCACCACGTTGCAGCCCTATCCTTTGCTACCTGGCTCCGGAGCTCCCACCTGGGCGCCTCACTGCGGCCCAGTGCCTCGGCCTTTGCACTGCTTGTCATTTCCTTGCATTCCCAGACACCAGCCCTTCACAGTGTTTTCTTTGATCACTTCGTTACAGCATCACAGATGAACAGGGGTGTGTAGGGTCCAGCTCTGGAGCTAGCCGCCTGGGCTGCTCCCCACTCTGCTAGCTTATATTGTGCATGGATGGCACCTAGCACAGCATAGGTACTATGTAAATGCTATATATTATTTCTCTGAACCACCTATACTGCTGTTCCCTTGCCATTTTCTCTTAAATAGGTTCATTTTTTAGTTGAATACATTTCATCTCCTTCTCAAAGAATAATATATGCAGAACGCTGTTTTTGACGTGGTAGTTCTTTTTTCCTTAACACATGAATGAAATACATATACATCATGATAACTGTAAGGTCATGCCCGAGCCACCCAACACCTGTGTATTCTCACTGGTGACGTGGCAGGCGGGATGTGTTCATGAATCTGTTGGGGAAGTCAAGGCAGGGCAGGAGTGCGCCCAGGCTGCCAAGACTGACTGAGCCCCCTCGCTTGCTCCTTTAGTGTCTTTCCGCAATGCTGCTCCCATCTGGAATATGTTTGTCTCCATCAGACAGAAGTGACAAAATGCAATTCTCATTTTGTCATCGGGGGTACCAAGCCCCTTCTCTGAGCCTGTCTTCCCCTTCCGCCCCCTGCCCTCAGTTTCCCCTTTTGTAAATGGGCAGGCAGGTTCCGCCTTCTGAGCTTTGGCTGTGACCTTGTGTGAGGCTGTGCCTTCATCCAAACCCGGTGGATGCCCAGCTGAAGGGACGGTTGCGTGGCAGGTTAGAGACCCTGGGCCTCGAGCTCACCAGGAGGCTCCTTGTGGACTTCAGGAGGCAGAGGGGGAGCTTGGCTCAGCCTGGGCAGTCAGGGAGGGCTTTCTGGAGGAAGGAACATCAGAGCTGAACACCTGCACGACCGATCGCAGTTTGAGGGGATGTCCCTTGTTCTCTGTAGACTGTCTTAAGTTGCTGACAGCTGCTAATGATGATCCTACATGTGTACATGTGTCCAGCCCTGCTTTATCCCCGTATGACTGGACCAGGCCAACCCAGCCTGGGGCCTTTGTGGAAGCGAGTATATCTAGAGGAGAGGATTTTTTTTTCCCTTTGGCCATCTGATTAAGCCTATGGACCCCCTCTTGGAGTGATGATTTTTAAAGGCAAAAAATAAAAATTGCAAAGGATGCCAGTTAAAATACAGTTAGCTAGATATTTTTTTACTTGTAATCTAGTGTTTATGCTCTTCTTCAGTGACACATGAAATCACAGGAGATAGTGGCAGCTCTAATAATGACTACCATTTCAAAGTAGTGAACACTCAAAAGCTCTGATAATGTTATATGATGTGAAAACATCTGTCTTTTGATGACAAAGTCGCAGGGTCTGCTAAACACTATTCGCTTTCTCTCGCTCTCTAGTTAATAAGAAGGAAATGCTAAATTTCACTTTAGTTAACTGAAAATAAAGAGGCAGTGTTTCCCCACTCAGGCTCATGGACCCTGCTTAGCTGGATTCCCTGAGGCCGCCGCTCTAGTCCCAAGGGCTGCCTCCCCTCCCAGACAAGGCCAGCTCCGTTCTCCACCCCCCCACCCCGAGCTGGGGGCCACCAGGCACATGGGCACATGTCAGAGATAGGTCTGCAGGAGGACAGCTGGCACTGAGAAGGCTGCTCATGGCCTGCAGTTGTACCCGAGGAAGAAGTGAGGGGCAGAGGACCTGGGGAGGCAGGGGCTCTGTGGACTTCCTTCCTCCAGCACAGTGGAGAGCAAGTTCTGGAGCAAATATTCGACTCTGCCCTGTACCAGCTGCCTGGCCCCAGGGAGGCAGCTTTACTTCCCTGGACCTCGGCTTCCTCTCCTAGGAAACAGGGCAATGCTTGATGAGATCGGGGTGCACTGCCCCTAGCCAGGGCAATGGCTGGAGGGAGAGTCTGCTCAGAGATGCTTTCCAGAGGCTCTGCAGGGCCGGGGCAAGATGGCAGCAGGGTAAGGGGAGGCCGAGACGCGCCGCCAGAGGCCCTCTTCCCTGCTTCCTGTCTTCACCCCCCCACCCCTCCAGTGCCCACTCCACTCTCCTGGCCCCAAAGCTTTGTGCACTAGGCCTGCCCCTGCCCCTCCCCGGCTCAGAGCCTCTTCTTCCTGCTCTTTTGGTAGACCGGGGGTAAAATCCAAGATCTAAGAGCCAAAAACAGAAACAGTACAAATGTCTCATCTCCCTGTGAATGGTACATCAGACAGTTACTCCTCAGCACTATTATAAGGAGCCCAGACTTAAAATCCTTATGCTCCATGAAAGAAGCCACAAAGGCCACATTCTCTTTGTCTCCATTTTTATGAAATGTCCAGAAAAGACAAATCTGTGCAGGCAGAAAGTCCAGCCCTACCTTGCCCCATGGAGGTGGGCCCTGGGCTGCTCAAGGCCTGGGCTGGGCAGCTGTTGGGTTTGGGCAGCTGCTATGTTTTAGTTACTGAAAATAAGCTGAGTAGCCTTTGGGGAAGGTTTCGCTATTGAGGGTGCTTCAGGAGTAGGACTCTGAGAGGTCACGTGGCATCGCAGTGGAGAGCTGAGCTTGAAGTCTGGCTCTAGCACTTACCAGCTGTGTGACCTTGGGCTAGATGCTCCACCTCTCTGAGCTCAGCTTCCTCATAGAGCTGAAATACAGATTCATTCTCTCCAAAAAAATAATAATAACAATAATAATCAAACATCTACTCTGGGCCTGGCCCTGGGCTGGATGGTGTTAGGGAATGGTGGTAACCAAGACAGCCCCAGCCCTGCTCTTTTTTTTTTTTAAGATTTTATTGGGGAATTGGGGGAGGGGAATAGTGTTGGGGAATTGGGAAAGGGGACCAGCCAAGTTATTGTTCTTCAATCTTCATTGTGGAGGAGGCCCATCAGCAGCTCGTGGCCTCTAAGCTCAAGGTGCTGTGTTCAATCTTAGTTGCGGGTGGGCATAGCCACCATCCCATCAGGCAATCTTGTTGTTACACCAGCTGAGCCATCCTGCCACCTGTTGTTGGCGACAGCTCAGCTCGGGCACCGCGTCACTGGCCCATGTGGGAATCGAACCGACAGCCCTGTTGCTCAGAGCTCGCGCTCTTAAGCCAACTCTTTTTTTTTTTTTTTTAAAGATTTTTATTGGGGAATTGGGGGGATGGGAACAGTGCTGGGGAATTGGGGAAAGGGGAACAGACAAGTTGCTGTCGTTTTGTTCTTCAGTCTAGTTGTGGAGGACGTTGCTTCACTGGCCCAAGTTGGCACCATCATTGCGCTCTTCTCTGGCGAGGCAGATCAGTCGCCGGCTTCCGGACGGCCGCTCACTGCGGCTGTTGGCCGCTCACGCTGGCTGCTGGCCACACACGGTAGCCCATGGCAATCCACTGCCACAGGGACTGCAGCCCACACCGTCGCCGGCGACTCATGGCAGCCCAGCTCCAGGTTGAGCTGTTGTTCAGCATCTTAGCTGTGGAGGGCAGTGTCACTGGCCCTCACATGTGGGATCCGAACCGGGGCCCTCTGGCGTCCCAAGCGAGTTCTTAACCATCACGCCACTCGGCTGGCCCTTAAGCCAACTCTTAACCAACTGAGCCACTCGGTCGGCCCCCAGCCCCGCTCTTGTGGGCCTCCTACTTTAGTGAGGGAGACAGCTGACAAATAGAAAATTGTGTGATATTACTTGTATATTGTTTGCGTGAAGATGCTCAAGGAGCCGTGGGGAACTGTGGAGGGTGGGGTGACTTGGTTTGGGGGTGCCCAGGGGCACTTCCCCAGAACAGCATGGGCAGTGAGGGGCCTCGATGGGAAGATAGAGCTCAGTGGGTTGTTGGAAGGGGCATTTTGGAGGCTGAGCGGAGAAGGGGGTGCCAGCAGAGGCTGGAGGCAAGAGAGGTGAAGGGGCCCAGAATATGGAGAGTCACAGGCTGGGGTCCTCTGTGCCCACAGCCCAGAATGTGACCGTGGACGAGGTCATCAGCGCCTACAAGCAGGCCTGCCAGAAGCTGAACTGCAGACAGATCCCCAAGCTCCTCAGGCAGCTCCAGGTATGCCAGGCAGGGGTGGGGCACACTCGGAGTTAGGGGGAGAGGGAGGGAAAGAGAGGAGGGGAGTTCCCTGGAGTGAGGCTGCCCTCCCCCCACCTCCCAGCAGCCTCTGGGCCTCTGGTGTCTGCCCCAAGCAGGGTGTAAATGCATCTTGGAAAACCTGTTCAGTTGTAAAAATAATCAAGCTCTTCACGGATACTGAAACAGTATAGAATTATATCAAGTAAGAATTTCAAGTATCTGTCATTCCCCAGAAGAAATTCTGTTCCCCAGGGGAAAAGCCATGTATGTGACATTTATTCTTAAAAGCCTGAATTATAAAAGCAATGTATACTGTCTAATTTTTAAGTCACAATATACTACAGACAGGAAAAGCAAAACCCACTTCTTGCTGAAGTCCCATTCCCCAGGAGTCCCCATTGTTTACAGCTGGGGGTTTTTATCTTCTGGCCTTTCCTGGGCATTTGCAAGAGGGCAGGTCACTATCCAGGGTGCAGACAGAAGGTAGTCTCTGTTTTATATGAATTAGGGTATTACTGTATCTGTGGCATGCTCACCTCCCAGCCATCTACTGCAACCGCCTCTGCTGTGGCCCACCCAGCCTGGCCACATTGGTAAAACACTGCCTCAGTGACTTCCCTCTGGGTGGGTCATTCCAGAATCTTGCTAGGTTGCTTGTTTGTAGAGTTGGTGCTCCCTCCGGCAGCGCTGCTGTGAGCAGTCGCGCTGACTCCCATCCCTGCACACTTAGGTTCTGTGGAGGATTCCTGAAGGGCTTGTTCAGGGAAAGATGGCCACACAGTTGTGGTAGCCGAGAGGGTGGGCCCTGGAACCTGCTTTAGACCAAGCCTGCCCCTTACTAGCAAGTGACCCTAGGCAAGACTGGGGCTTAGCCTCTTTGTCTGTGTATGGGTTCATCACAGCACCTACCCTAGGTGTTGAGGTATGTGGAGCCCAGAGAACAGGAGCTGGTACCCGTGGGGGTGGGGCTGGGAAGACGTCTGTCCAGTGCCTTTACTCCTCTTTACTGAGCACTTGCTGTGTGCCAGGCCTGGTACCCTGCCCTTTACCCCCTGGCTCTCCAGCCTGAACTGTCAGCCTTCCCGGCTGCAGCGCCTACCACACAGCCTTTGGATTGGCTGTTCCCTCTGCCTGGAACCCCCACCCTAGAGACTCCCAGGGCCCACTCCCTCACTCCATTCAGCCGGGGCAGAGGGACTGCACCCGGACCATCCTGGCCCCAGGTCCTGTGGCTGAGGAGCCCTGCGCCCCTCCCTTACCCCAGAACCCTTCTTCACCTCAGAAATAGCAAAGCCAGATTGGAGCCCCAGCCGCCCCGCTGTCAGGGCCCAGCCTGGCCCCTGAAGGCGTCTTTCTGCCTTAACCACCATCTACTCTGCTTTTCCAGGAGTTCACGGACCTCGGCCACCGCATTGACTGCCTGGACTTGAAAGGTGTGTGTCTGGACACAGGCCTGGAGCCCTTGGGTAGTGGGCAGGGCCAAGCCTAGAATGGGGGCCTGGCCTGCTCGAGGTCAGCAGCGGGTCCTGCCACTAGAGGAGTTTAGCTAGGGGCCGGGGCTGGGCCTGAGAGAGAGAGCTGCAGGGGCGGATGGCCCTTCCTCCCTCCCTTGGGCTCCCCACCGTGCCCACACAGTGCTCCATCTCCTCTCAGGTGAAAAGCTCGACTACAGGGCCTGCGAGGCCCTGGAAGAAGTCTTCAAGAGGCTACAGTTCAAGGTCGTAGATCTGGAGCAGACGAACCTGGATGAAGATGTGAGCAGCCCCTGCCACCGCCCTTACCTGCTCCCTGAACTCCTGGCCCTTTAGAGGTTGGGGGGGAAAGGCACTGCAGGAGGAGAGCAGGGCTTTTTGAACGACAGAATGGGGAGCTACCCAGTATGACCAGAGTGGATGTGGGGAGTATTCGGGCTCCGGGGTGGCACCCAGAGAGGGGGGTCTCATAGACCCATCCCAAAGGCAGGACCTTTGTAAGCAAGGGACAGACCTGGGGAGCCAGGCCTGAGGGGAGCCCTGTTGCCACCAGGAGCTTCTCCAGGACCCCCATCCCCAGGGATCACAGCACCTGCAGGGGAGAATTTGAGAAACTTCTGGAAGCAGCCTCCCCCATTTGTGCCCAGGTGTCCTCACCTCCCCAGACTTGGAGACCACCAGGAAACCAGGAGTTTGAGCCCCAGGTCTAGAGGAAACAGGAAAGCCATGGGGAGGGGTCCTAGAAATCCAGGCCGAGGCCCAGGGATGACAGAGACCTGCCTGGGTCACGCAGCACACCAGTCCTGGGGGTGAGTAAGAGAAAGCAGACCGGCTCCTGCAGGCAGCGTGACAGGCTGGTTCCCGTGACCTAGAGGTGCCGGAGCAGCACCCGGCCTGCCTCCTGGCCTTCGGGGCCTCGACCCGAGGCTGAGCCCCGTTGTCCCCGCCTGCAGGGCGCCTCAGCTCTCTTTGACATGATTGAGTACTACGAGTCGGCCACCCACCTCAACATCTCCTTCAACAAGCACATCGGCACACGGGGCTGGCAGGCTGCCGCCCACATGATGCGCAAGGTGGGCGCCCCCACCCCCACCCCACAGCCTCTCCAGGGTGGAAGGAGCTCAGGCGTAGAGGGGTCCAGGCGCTTTCCTAGGGCACCCAGCCCTTTAGCGTTGCCAGGCCCCAGCTTCTGGGCCCTGTGCGAAAGCAGTGCCGAGGGCGCCCAGCCTCAGGCTCACCCTGGCCCCTCCCCTCTCCTCCACTTGCCCTCACTGTATTCCTTGGAGGCAGTTGTGGTCACCACCCCCATTTCACTCATACTGGAGCCAGGAAACTCAGCTGTCACCAGCCCTGCCTCGCTCACCCACAGCCCCCAGGCTGAACCTTCCACCTGAGGTTTCCACCAGTCACAGTTTCCCTGGCTATAAAAGCAGGTGGCCCTGCTGCTCTCTGGGACTTGGGGTGGGCGGTCCCTCAGGGCAGGGATGGCTGGGGCCAGCCTGACCCAGCCCCCGCTTCTGCCCCACCAGACCAGCTGCCTGCAGTACCTGGACGCCCGCAACACGCCCCTGCTGGACCACTCGGCACCGTTCGTGGCCCGCGCCCTACGGATCCGCAGCAGCCTGGCAGTGCTGCACCTGGAGAACGCCAGCCTGTCAGGGCGGCCCCTCATGCTGCTCGGTGAGCCCCAGGCCCAGGAGGCCCAGCAGTGACGTGCAGCCCACGGAGGGCTGGGGCTCTTTGCCGGGTCCTTGGGGCATGGACCGTCACACACCCTCTCCCTCCCTCCTCTTCCCCAGCCACGGCCCTGAAGATGAACATGAACCTGCGGGAGCTGTACTTGGCCGACAACAAGCTCAATGGCCTGCAGGACTCGGCCCAGTTGGGCAACCTGCTCAAATTCAACTGCTCCCTGCAGATTCTGGATCTCCGTAACAACCACGTGCTGGACTCAGGTGTGTGCAAGGTCCGTCCACCCCTACTCCAGTCACCCAGCTCCCACCATGCCCAGCCAGGTGCTCCATGGTGCTGGACACAGTTGGGGACACAGTGGTGGCCAAGACAACCCGAGCCATCCCCAGGCAGAGAACTCAGGCTGGGCAGGGTGGGGCTGCAGGACCCCCAGTCTAGGGGTCAGGGAGGGCATCCTGGAGGAAGAGACAGCTCAGTGGAGACCTGCAGGATGAGGTGAGGTATTGAACAGATAATAAAAATAATGACAATCTGGGAAAATTGCCCTGAATTTAAAACAAGATTCTTGGGATAAGGGTCAACCGCAGGCTGTTTAAGGTGCGGGGAGGGGACCTCTAGGTGGCGATAGGGAGGCTGAGAACGGAACCAGCCGGGGAAAGAATGCCAGCAGAGGGCAGCAAGTGCAAAGGCCCTGAGGTGGGAAAGAGCTGCGGGGAAAGCCACGGTGAGCGGGGGTGGGGGTGGGGGGTGGATGGGAAGAGAAGAGGAATTAGTTAGCAGAAGGAATTCTATTTCCCCATGGGGGAGGGCACCTGTGACCAGGTTCACTATTGAGCAGGGTTCCCTGGCTTCAGTGTGAAGAAGGGGCTTGTGGGAGGCAGAGTGGGATGGCGAGGCCAGTGCCTTCCCCCCAGGCAGCCAGGCCCAGATACCACGTTTATTGAGCACCTATCCATGCCAGGGCTGTCGCCTCCGGGCTCCCAGCTGTGAGATCTCTGCCCTTAGGAAAGACAAAGCCAAGATAAATTAATAAATTATTGAGTCTGTCAGATGGTGAGATGTGCTCTGGAGAAAATAAATGTGGGCTGAGTTGGCTGGCTGGGGACTCTCTTGGGAGAGGGTATTATTTGCCCAGAGATTTGAGGGAGACAGATGAGGGTTCTCGGGCCCAGGGATCAGGGGAGCAGCGTGTGCCCGCTGCCTGTGGGGCCTCGGGAGGTTCTGAGTGCTCGCAGGGTGGCAGTCGCTCCCACTTCGGAGTCCCCTGGAGAAGTGCCCAGACCACAGACGGGACTTGCCCACGGGCCTCCCCCAGGTCTGGCTTACATCTGCGAGGGCCTCAAGGAGCAGAGGAAGGGGCTGGCGACCCTGGTGCTGTGGAACAACCAGCTCACACACACGGGCATGGCTTTCCTGGGCATGACGCTGGTGAGTTGGCCTGCGAGAGGGGAGCGGGGCATGCCAGTCCTCACACCACTTCCCCCACCCCGGCTCTGAGCACTGTCCACTCCCGCCCATCCTGTCTCAGCCTGGCTCGTCCTGAAGGTCTAGGAACCATTGCGTCTCTCCTTTCGGTCGTGTGGCCTTTCCTTCCACTCGCACCCCCTCTTTTTCCTGAGGAAAGTAGCCCTCCTTTCACTGTCTTTTTGCATCCAGCCCCATAGATAGGCTAGTACGGTGCTTTGCATAAGGTGAAAATGTTTTGCATAGAAAGTTAATATTTCTAGAAGCCTTCAGTCAGTCTTAAATCTTTTTATTACGCAATATTTAAAGCAAGCCCACAGGGCACAAAGACTTAAACCCAGGCGAAGAATTCCCCATGGCCAGACCGGTGCAGGAGTCCTTTGGATGCTGGCGGGGGCAGAGGACAGGCCTGGGCGTGGGGAGGGGACAGGGCAGCTGGCACTTGGGGCGACTTCTAAGTCCATGAGGGATTCAGCCTTAAGCAGGAATGTGGCACTGCTGAGGAGAGAGCATGCAGGTTTGCCTCTTTCCCGACTGGCCTTCTGGGCTTTTCCTCACTGTCACGTGCTGCCCCCTGCAGCCTCACACACAGAGCCTGGAGACGCTGAACCTGGGCCACAACCCCATTGGGAACGAGGGTGTCCGCAACCTCAAAAACGGCCTCATCGGCAACCGCAGCGTGCTACGCCTCGGCCTGGCCTCCACCAAGCTCACGTGCGAGGGTAGGACACGGGGCTGGGTGGAGGGGGCTGGGCAGGCCAAGGGCGGTGGGCGGCCAGCCGGGCGTGGGCCCGTGGCCAGCCCCTGCGGTCCCCCTCCCAGGCGCGGTGGCCGTGGCGGAGTTCATCGCCGAGAGCCCCCGCCTCCTGAGACTGGACCTTCGGGAGAACGAGATCAAGACGGGCGGGCTCATGGCGCTGTCCTTGGCCCTCAAGGTGAACCACTCCTTGCTGCGCCTGGACCTCGACCGCGAGCCCAAGAAGGAGGCGGTGAGCGGGCTCCCCCTGTGGCCTCGCTGTGGGCAGGTGGGGGCGGGCCTGGCCCAGGGTGGCCGCAGGACCTGCTGCAGGGACAGGCCACCCAGACTCCTAGCCAGGCCCACTCCACCACAGGTGAAGAGCTTCATCGAGACGCAGAAGGCACTGCTCGCAGAGATCCAGAATGGCTGCAAGCGCAACTTCGTGCTAGCGCGAGAGCGGGAGGAGAAGGAACAGCGGCTGCAGCTGTCGGCCTCCATGCCCGAGATTACGGTCACCGAGCCCCAGCCCGATGAGGAGCCGGGGGACGAGCCCGGGGATGAGCCCACCACTGAGGCGCAGGAGAACGGGGCCCCAGGCCCTGGGCCTGGCCTGGACTCAGACTCAGACTCAGACTCCGAGGGGGAGGAGGGGGAGGAGGGGGGTGAGGAGCGGGCTGTGGTCCCCTGCCCCGCCCAGGTGCCCCCCACGGACTCCCTGGGCCCTGGGGACAGGAGCCCCCCAGGGAGCCCCTCCTCCCCCACTGAGCAGCGTATTTCTGTGTCCAGCCCGGGCCGGGGCCACAAAGTATTTGTGGTGACTCGTGTGGAGAGCCCACCTGAGAAAGCAGAGCCCCCCGTGCCCCCCGTCCTTTGTCCTCCCTCCCCTCCTGCCTTACCCTCCCCACCCACCTCATCTACCCTACCGCCAGCTGAGGCCATCAGCACTTGGGACCCAGGGTCGTCTGAGCCTCAGCCACAGCTGCCTCAGTCAGGGCCACCACTGCCCAACGGCCTGAAGCCCGAGTTTGCTCTCGCACTGCCCCCAGAGCCGCCCCCGGGGCCCGAGGCCAAGGCAGGCAGCTGTGGCCTGGAACATGGTGAGAGGAGCTCTGGGGCAGGGTGACAAGGGGCCCTGAGTGCTGTGTGTGACCCCTCCCCATTAGTGGGCCTCAGTGTACCCCTCTTTAAAGTGGCCCTTGAAGGGGCCGGGACGAGTGGGACTTGGTCCTCGGTCCCCACCTCGCTTCCATTGGATCCTGGGAACTCTCCCTGGGGCCTGGGCACGTGAGCTTTGCTGACCAGCGTCTGGTGATCTCAGTGGTCCCCTGGCCTGTGCTGCCCTGAGGGTCTGCCTTGGGTAGGGCTGATGGGGACGGGCTGCCATCCCCCTTCCCACCTGCCTGACTGGAGGCCGCCTGCACGTTCTCCCCACGCAGAAATGAGCTGCTCCAAGAACGAGAAGGAGCTCGAGGAGCTGCTTCTGGAAGCCAGTCAGGATTCTGGGCAGGAGACACTGTGACACTTTAGGTGAGACGAGGGCCAGGGGCTGGGGAAGCTGGGGAGCTGGCGATGGAGCCCCTGGCTCTGACACGCCCCCTCATTCTCTTCTCCCCAAGTTCCTTTTTTCCGGTCAGTCTTCGATGAGCTGAGGCCAGAGCCATGAGAATCTAGAATCTGCTCACTCTCACCCCCAGCCCCCGAGGCCCGGGACACCAGGGGTGTGGGGGGCCTGT